GGGGGCTGGTTTGAGGGTAGGGACAAAATAAATTAATTTTTTCAACAAAAAAATAATTGTAATTTGAAATTGGAAGAGAGTTCTGGAAAATGTTTTCCTTAAGTTTAGAAAGGAAGTCATTTTCCTTAAATTTGAGGAAAATTAGTTGATTTGGAAAAAATTTCCAAAACATTTAGCCCAACCAAACATGAGAAAATTGGAAAACATTTTCCGAAAAATATTTTCCTTCATACCAAACACACCCTTAATGAACAAACAGAATTAACTGGAATTTCATATTGCTATTTTTGTATTTGGTTTACGAGTAATTCAACTGAGAAAACGATCTCTTATTCCAATTAAAATTTGAATAGGAGACACTAATTCTACATTGTATTTGTTAAAAAAATAATATGAAATATAATTGAAGAAGATGACTTTGAAGCGTGTAACCACTTTTTTTAAAGAAATATTATCTATATACATATTGAAATAAAGACAAACAATTCTCTTCAAGAATACAACAAAATCCAAAAATTAAAGTTTAGAAAGCCCTTAACAAATTGAAAGGGATCGAGCACGAAAATCAAAAACCTTCTCTCTCCTACTTCCTAGGAGGGAGAAACATCTTTTCTTGACACTTTTCTGGCACTTGTTACCGGAAAATCTCTCTCTCACCTCCCTGAGTTATCACCTTCTATGGTCACTCTCTTTCTTTTTCCTTCTTTGAGCATTTCTCTCAGCCAGAAACTACATTTTAAAGGATGGAGGACAATAGGATCTCTTTCAACGCGGGGTTTAAGTCATTCGATATCACTAGGTGGGAAAATGGCAAGTCTGAATGGGTGGAAAGGAGTAAGAAGATGATGTGAAGGTCCACTATGAGCAGAAAAGCTATGGAGTGAATATGCTTTTGTGTGAAAGAGGCATCGGAAGATCAGAAGAAGGAGAAGGAGATCAGGAGATGGAGATTTTCAGAAAGGGAGTCAGACCTTTTTTGCACTAAAAAGAGCAATCAACATGGGAGATTTATAAATATAATCACATTAAATGGAGGGGGAAGGTCTGGCTTAATCATTCCAGAGCTAACATTGAATGGTGGGTGGATGGATGTTGCATTAAAGATAGAAAGGTTCATTAAATGGCAGAGGATAAAGGTACATATACCCCTACAAGAGTGACAGATGTCAAGTACCCTTTTGCAGCAGTTGTACAAGAGAGCAAATGTCAATCACAACTGCTGTGATAAAGAGTAGGAATGACAATATAAAAGTGACTGATAGAATGGACGATCAGGAAGATAGCCTACTCAAGAGATGTGTAGTTGGTACGTTACTATGGAGAGGGTTTCAAGGAAAAGCCGACACTTGTTGAAATCAGAAGGTGGTCCTCAACAAACTGGACAAAAGAATTTGGTGTCAACATCTACGAACTCAATGGCAACTCATTTCTGTTCGAATTTCCAAACAAACACATGGCGGAGCAAACCTTACAAGGGCAATGGAGTTGGAAGAACTGCAACTTCCATCTGGAATGGTGGAACCCTTTAATAGGAAGCATCCCAAACTCCTTAACATGCAAGGAAACTTGGATCAGAGTGGTAGGCATTCCCCTGTACTTGTGGTCTCAGAAAGTCTTCCAAGAAATTGGAGAAGTCTGTGGAGGATGGATTGCAACTGAGGAAGAAACAATGCTAAAAAATCACATAAAGTGAGCAAGAATTCTGGTGGCCAGCGACGATAGGGAAATACCCAAGGAGGTCTCCATAGAACGAAACAGAATTACTTCCACTTTTCGATATGGGTGGAGTGCAAACCCAAGTTTGAAATAACACCAGAATCAGGTTATGGAACCAATGGAGAAGAAACAAGGCTGAATCCAACACAAGGTTTTACCCAGAGGATAATCCAAAGTGCAAGCTGTAATTCTGTACTAGAATCCCATCAATTAAGGGATTCTGGTCAGAAACAACATATGGGTTGTAAGAGAAAAACAGCTGGAAGGGTAAGTTTTAATGAGACATGTGACTTGCACATGACTCATTTAAATTTAAGATCAGATTTGGGCCTCTTTTCCAGGCCAAGAGTACTATGCCCAGAAAAGAAGTATAAGCCCAGATAGAGCTGGACAACTGATCTTTAATAAAATACATGGAGGAAATAAGATAATTTCATTGATGCCATGGTTCTACAAAAAGCTTTGCATACAACAATGGAACCAGAGAAGGAAAACTCTTACGCAACAATGGTGATGATGGAGACAGAGAGCTCAAAGGGGGGAAAAGTTTTATCGAAAAAGAGGAGAAGAGGAGTTTCCAGTGGCAGAAAATGGAGAAAGTAGCAGAAGCGAAAGGGAAGATAATTCAGTTACAGTTCAAAATCAAAATAATGAACTCGTTAATTGGGAGATTAAAGAAGTGGATCCAATAGTAATTCACCAACAACAGACAATTCAAGAAATAGAGAAAGACACTTCCACTTGGGTGAAACAAAATTTAATAAAGTTGGGGAAGATTTTCGGAGTAGATTTTCAAGGGCATGAAGAGGAGGCCACAGAACTACTCCTGCAGATTCATAGCTACAGACTTGCAAGAAGAATGGAGCAAGAGCTTGCAGGGTAGTTGAAATGGAGGCTAGCTTCTGGAGTGTGATAAAAAGGTGCCACTATACTTTAATGTTATCGATATAGAGCAGTAGTCAAATTGACTTTATTGTATGGGGTGGAGTGTTGGCTAGTCAAGCATTCCTCTATCCAGAAGATGAAAGTTGCAGAAATGAGGATGTTAAGATGGATTTGTGGCTGACAAGGAAAGATATGGTCAAAAATGAAAATAGGGCCAAGGTGGAAGTGACCTCCGTGGCGAACATGATGTGAGATAGTTTATATATGTCAAGAGGAGATACACAAACTCCCTAGTGAGGATGTGTGAGAGATTGGCGTTGTAGAGCTTATGAGAGGTAAGGGCAGGTTAATAAGTACTAGGGGAGGTGACAAGCATTCAGCTAATCGAGTTCGAGGACATGACCCCGATAGAAGGGTGTGGAGGGCAAAGATTCGGGTAGAAGACTAGAAGTAATTAGTTTTGCATTTGGTTTCTCCGGTTGGTAGAATTAGTAATGTTCTATTAGTTTACTATTTCCGTATTTTTTTTATTTAATGTTATTTTTAAGATGACAAAAATGCCAACGAATGGAGGTGGAGTACAATGGTTCCATTGTACAAGAACAAGGGTGCTATGCAAAACTGTAACAATTACAGGGGTATCAAATTGTTAAGCCACACAATAAAGGTTTGGGAGAGTGTGGTAGAGATGAGGGTGAGGATAGGGGTGTCCATTTCTAGTAATCAATTTGGATGCATGCTAAGGTGTTCGACTACTGAAACTATCCACCTTGTGCGGAGACTAATGGAAAAGTATACGAAAAAGAAGAGGAATCTCCATTGACCTTAAAAAGGCTTATGACAAAGTCCCAAGGGATGTTCTCTGGAGGTGTTTCGAGGCTAAGGTGCCCTGATGGTATATATTAAGGCGATAAATGACATGAATGATGGAGCTAAGGCTCAGGTTAGAACGGTGAAAGGAGAATCTGAGAACTTCCTAGTTGAGATGGGGCTACATTTGGGATCAATTCTTTAACCCTTTTCTATTTGCTTTGGTGATGGATGAGTTGACATGGTCTATTCACGAGGAGGTTCCTTGATATATGTTATTTGCAGACGACATATTGTTCATTGATAAGACACGTGACAAAGTTAATGCTAGGTTGAAGATTTGGAGACATACTTTAGAGTCCAAAGGGTTCAAGTTAAGCAGGACTAAAATGGAGTGCAAATCCAGTGTTGGGGACATGGAAGTGAATCTTGCCACACAGACTATTTCCAAGAGGGAGTTGTAAGTATCTTGGGTCTGTACTCTTGAATAGTGGGGACATCGAGGATGATGTCATACATCACATTGGGGCGTCATGGATGAAATGAAGGCTTGCCGCTAAAGTATTGTGTGATAAGAAGATATCACCTAAATTTAAAATGTAAGTTTTACAAAGTGGTGGTTAGATCTTCGTAGTCCACCCCTCTTGTTGTGAACTCCCTATTTCCCCTTACCTTCTTGTAGATCGGGAAAAAAGATAATTCGAGAATCAAGATATTGGTTACTATTTTATCACACGTTAGGCACATAACATTAAAGCAAAATTTTGAAACATTAGTAGACTTACAAGTTTATGGAATTAAATTTAGATAGATTCATAAATTCAAGAATATCATACCCAAATTAAGATCAAATTATTTAATTCCAAGATATGGATTTAAAGAAAAGTTCAATTTCACGTGAGCTAGTCCATTGAGTTGGTCTTCAAATAATGATCCCGCTCAATTAGCCCAAGGTCCATTCAACGTGTCAAATGATATGACGCACCAAGTCAAATAAAATAACAAATAAAATGATGTCACGTATTCAAATGATGTGGCACTCCTAGTCATATTAAACACCAATCAAATGCAGACAAATGTTCCAACTGACATGTCTTGGCCAAGTAAATGTGACCTTATCAAATGAGCCAATCAAAATCAAGTAAGATCATCTACACTTAAATTGTCTACCTTCAACAACTATAAATAGGGGAGTTACATACCTCTCAAGGGGGACATTCAAGGAATTGGAGAGAAAGCATCTGCAAGATCATCCGAAGAATAAGAGAGAACTACATACTCTAGTGGCGATCTGCAAGTTCTTCATCTCTGGTGGTGAGCTGTAAGTTTCTATACCTTCATATGTGTGATCAAACCCTAGCTCCATATTTGTGCTAAAATTTCAATAACAAATGATTCATCAACTCAAGAACAAGCAAAGACCATTAGTTGATGGTCGTGATGATAAGAATTAGAGGATTACGCCTTTCTATATAAGATTTCAGAAGCATTGTAATCCCCGCACATTATTGGAATCAAATATTAAATACTTGTCCCTATTTTCTTGTGTTGATTATTCGTTTATCAGGAACAAAAAATAAGCCCTTAAGAAACATGTCCTCTTCATCAGCAAAATTTAAAATGGCCCTAGCCAAGAGGGTTTTATCGAGAGTAGGCTCAATTGTTGCATCAGTCATGTTGGTTCATACGATAATCCACAACTACATTCCTAGGGAACTCCATGCATATCTATTCTTTGGAATCAAAAACATGTTCACCAAGTTCTCAAAACAACTAACGATGGTGGTCGACGAATTTGATGGCCTGGTCAACAACAAAATTTATGAAGCTGCAACAATCTATTTGGCAAACAAGTTGTCCCCTCACATCCGTAAACTTAAAATCAGTAAGACTGAGAAAGAGAAAATTTCAACATCGCCATGGAACATAATGAGGAGGTAATGTTTTGCGTGCACACACATCTATATAAATCTATATATATAATGATATTGCGTGTTATGGTATTTGTTATCATAAAAGTTTTAGACCAAACTAAAAGTTGTATTGCTTGGACTCTTGAAAGATATTTACAACTAAGAATACATAGACTAGAGTGGACTAATTTGTGGGTAAACAAAAATATCTGTCACTACAGATTATAAAAAATATTGTGTTAGCTATGATCTATTTAGTGTCACGCCCCGAAATAAGGGCGTAACTGGCACTCGATACCCTAAAACATCGAGTTACCCATTGAAACATACTAACTAAACCAAACTTGTGAGGCAAAAATATTGGGCAACACAACCTCTAAAAAGTGAAGCCTGGACCCAGAGGTCATGACCTGAAAGAGAATAACCATACAAACAATGGTAGACAAACCATAAAAATAGATAAAGATGTACTATCTAGTCGACGAGGCCACAACCGAAAACATACCTACTTACACACACATCTATATATGCATGCCAAGACTATTGGCTGGAGGTTGAAACATACAAAAAGAAAACCCAGACTGTACAACAAAAGTAAGCATCCTGTGATAGCCCCAGGATAAGATGGAGCTTACCAACTCACAGCTGAACTTGAATCCTAGCGGGTGGGTCGAAGAGTCCCTACCTGTACCTGCTCGCACAAAACAAAAAGCATCGTCCCCAGGCAAAGGGACGTCAGTACGAATAAAAATGTACTGGTATGTAAAGCGAAAAGTAAAATCGTAAACATTTACTGTAAAAGGATAATAGAGATACCACCTGAAACTGAAACCCAAATAATCTCCATGGCTGACCTTTAGCCCCCTACTACTTAAATATGCATACCATGCTCGTATAATCATA